ATAATGGAAGAGCAACCGAAATCTGATTATTAGCAAGAGAGAATCAGGTCATGTGACTTGACCAACTTACCACATCACATCCTACAGGACCAATGGGATCATATGTACTTAATAATAACCATAAACCGTCAAGTAATGACTAGAAGAAAGAGAGAGAAAATATTAAAAAATTAGAATACATGTACAGTATGTAATGTACATGTACATTGTGTGGACCAAATGCTAACTTTAGGAGTTGAGCAGCTGCAAAGATCAACACTAGTTAATGCTGACACCTATAGATGTACAGTACAGGAATAAAAATAATATGTAATTAATGTACATGTAATATCTACATGTAATATGTACATGTATACTGCAATGTTCATGTATAGTGTGTACCTGTAGATTAAGTGAGTTGAGCTTATTTGATAAGTTTAACAATGATATGAACTCTCCTAAAAATGAAAAATGTACATGTACATACACATAATGGGCAGAATAAACACTTAAACTAAAGTACATTTTATAATAAATAGTAGTCTCACCCCGCCCCTTCACTTACCTGCGGAGGGGGCGGGGCGAGACTAAATAAATAGGTACTTATTTACTTTTTTCAGAAACCTTCTTCTCTATTTTCTGCAATGCTTCATCCACACTCTACATAAACATGTACACACACAACCAGTTAAACCTGTTATTAAACTGGTCATACCAGTAAGTAGCAGTTGAGACTGTCAGCAAATGCCTCCTGAGTCTGAGAAACTCGTTCACCCCCGGGCGACTGCGTTGCCATGACAACTCGTCTAAAGCGATTCAGCTTCGTTGCCAACTCAGCAAAAGTTTCTAAAATCCTAGCGAGTGATTTCTAAGAACAAGATATAAATTACTTTTACAATGATTATTATGTGGTGTCTTACTAATGAAAGGTGGGATAATGTAATTCCATTCCTCACTGTAACCACACCTCCTTCACTAATATAATAAACACAACTTCTTCTTACTCCTAATAATACCCTAACAATAACAACAACAACAATAAATAATAATAATAAATAATAATAATAATGTAAATTAATATTAATTTCATACCAGAGTGACTCTCTCACAGCTTGTATCTCTGTAAGTTGTATAGACAAAGATGGTCTAAAAAAGACATTTTGTAAAAGCACAAAAAGGATTCATTATGGCCAATGTTCTTTATTTTTATCACATTTAAAAATAATATTAGTTATTACTATACCTGTTAATTAATGATGGATATAGTGTCACTGGTTTCCAGTATGGATGACATACTGATAATCTCACTGGCAGTTCCTACCAAAGCATAGAGTACATGTACATGTAATATG